TGCCGCAGCATCCTAACCCTCTGGGATGCTGTTCCCTCCAAACTGGGATCAGCATAACACAGTCCCCAGGTTTATTACTGGATGAGTCTGAACCTGGCGTGTAAGCCGGCAGCTGGCAAGATTTGGGAAGGTGCTCAGTAATATGTTGGTATTTGACCTGTGTGCTGAGGTGCCATTACGGTAACACCTGGATTCAAGGCTTTTATTGTCATTTGTACATAGCTACAGTGTAGATATGTCAACGGAAATCTTAGGTCACAGGCTCCTCAAACAGTGCAACACAATACAACTAATAAAATAGTGCAAGTAAATACAAGTAAAATAGCGCAAGGAGAGTCTATACAAGAAATTGGAATGTGATATATTAGATCAATAATTTGTAAGTTGCAAACAGATGAATGTTATAGATGTTCTTTCAAAGGTTCAGGTGTTTAACAGTCTTATGGCCTGGAATGTCCCTGAGTGTGGTGGAGCGAGACGGTGGCAGACAGAACAGTTTGTTGCTGGGATGATGGGGGTCTTTTGTAATCTGGCCAGTATTCCCAAGTTATTTAGGACCGCCTGCCCGATCCCCTTCCCCGGGTGTGTCACTGATGAAGCTGTAATGGATGCAGGTAGTGGATTACTCTTCAGGTGTGTCAGCATTCAATTGCATCTGAAAGGAGCACTCAAACTGGAGATGATGGCCCACCTTTTACAGGCTTAACTCCTAATAAAGCCAACTTGTATGAATGCATGTCAGACGCAGGCCCAGGTTATTGTCTCAGGTAGCTGCCCCTGTACTTTAGAAACTCCCATTGTTTTCTCCTCCTGAGCCATTTAAGCAGATCAAAGCTCTGACAAAGCCCAGGGAAGCCCCGGGCGTGCGGAAACACAGGAATTATCCCCCCCTCAGGATTCCCACACAAAAAGACAAATAGACTAGCCCCAGAGGGTGGCCCCCTGTGGGATGTCTCCATTCACAGGCAGCCTGTTGTGGAAGCACCAATTGCTGTTTTTTTCTTCTCTCATTTCACAATATATTGTGCTTTAAATTGGATGCATTGTAAATACAGCAGGCATCAAATCTAAAGCTTAGAACAAATAACACAACATGTTTTTTGGTATAGATAAACAGGTATTCACTCACCCTGCTTGTTTTTATCAGTTAACAACATAAACCAAAACATTATAATAATTGCATATCATGTTTTAGATTTGTAAGAGTTTGATAATGGAACTATTTTTCCTCCTTGAATCGAGAGCAGCGGGAGAAGCACAAACATGGCTTGTTCCTTAGCTTTGTTTGAGCCTTCAAGCTGGTGAATGATTAGCAGAAATAATGTCCCTGTCACCCTTAATCACATTAAAACGTGGTTAACATTTAATTTTTCCCACTTGATATGCAAAACTTTCCACTTGATTTGCAGCAAAGGCCATTGGAATTCCATTATAAAAAGAATAAAAATTTCAGGCATCATTTGTTCAGAGAGGGATATCAGGACCAGAAAGTGCTGAATCTTTCTATTAACTGAGCAGTGAGAGATGGCACTCAGTGCTGGGACATAATGGAGACTGACAAGACACACACACACACACACACACACACACACACACACACACACACACACACACACACACACACACACACACACACACACACACACACAAAGACAGACACAATCTCGGTCACTGGATTTTTGTGTGTAGCTCAGACTTTTACAACAAATATTTTACAAGAACAAATATTGTATCTATCTTTTTCTCATTAGGATATTTTACATTTTCCCTTAAATTATTTTTGATCTTTCTTAAGCAGAAACCTACGTTGTACATATTTTTAGATTATGCTATACTTTACATACAATAGCCTGCACTGTATTTTACGGCTATATTATTGATAAGCAAACGTTTGTTCACGGCCTACCTCTATCAAGGTTGTGTTCATCAATATAGTCTTCTTTCTGAGGTGTGTTGATTCTCTTTTGTAGTTGTAGTATGTAATTTGATTGGTTGATTATGTTTTGGTCTTTTTTGTATTACTTTAAAGTCTTTGTTTCCTTGTTTGTATTGTTTGTTAGGACCCCTCTAAAGTCACATGGTTTATCTCAAAGAGTTTATCCTCATGAATAAACTTGTACAACAACAAAAATAAATAATGCCAGCATTTCAAACATGTTCTTGAGGAGATACTGAAGCGATGCCGCTGAGCAAGAGCAAAGAGTCCTTGATGTATAGAAAAGATGCTTCTCCTCAACACCTTGATTTCTCTGAGATACAGATTTACATGGAGACCTTTATGACTCAGAACTTCATGGAGAATCTGCAGCATGTTTTACATAAACATTTCCCCAATTTACAATTCCTCGTACAATTTCACACAAATAATTGGAAAGGACATAAATACAAATTGCAAAGTGGCATGGGCAGACAGCGGGGAAGTTGACAGAATCTGTTTTGGGAGCCGTGTTGACGGAGCATCAAAGCTCTTAATTGACAGTGCTTTGTTTCTGGAGTTGAGGGAAGGGGGAGTTTCGTGTTCCTGTGGCAAGGTGTTTGTCTGGTCCTGTGTCACTCAGTGCAAGGACCCAGAGGCCCCCATGCTCATTTGCAGCTCACGTTCTCCGTCTCGGCATCACATTATTAAAATCATCCCTCAGCCTTCTACCGAGAGCCTCTTTGTTACTTGGCTGGCTTGGCTCAGCTCTGTCAAGTCTTCACCAATTACAGTCTCAGGTACAATGGTCTATTCAAAGGATCACAGCCCTTGACTGGTGTGGAGAGAGTGATTTGTGAATCATTATTCAGCCGCCTGTAGAGTACGCAATACCTGAGGAATGCAAATAACGTGCCACCAAATAGACAGCTGTGCGCCTAAAAGTGACAAACTACTGCTGTTATTATCTCAGATTGGATTTTTCCCCTCTTGGAGCGCCCGCCATCTCCTGTCTTCAGCTTTTTTGGGCTTTGACTGTATTTTATTTTTCTGTCCTTTATTGGGGAGACATTGGTCGACTACCTCATTGCGGTGGCAGTCAAACGTCAGCTCCACACCCAACAGAAAGGGAAATATTAGGTTACGGCTCTTAATAGATGTGCATCCGAACAGACAAAGTGGCATATGAGGCATTTCAAAATTTACCCTGTAGTGTTATCTTATCTTGTTGGGAAAAACATCCAATCAAAACAAAACTGTGCTCTCCCTGCGCCCGTTACCCTGTCCTATATTGTATATTGATAATCATTATGTGGCAGCAGTGATATGGTGTAGGTGATAAAGCAGTGACATTGTTATTGGAATAGATGTGGTATTGAGGTGGTCGGGTTCCTCCCAGTCTTTGATTCTTATGGGCTTTAAACAGGAAACTAGGATTACAGATAATGACAGGGACCCCTTTAGAATCAATCCAGCCTAGGAGCTGTGTCGGGGCTGCCGTGTGAAAATGGATTTGTGTGATGCTGTTCTTTGAGACCTGTACAATCCCAGCCCGAGAGCTGGTGGGGCTAATCTCATAATTGCCCTAACCCCCTTGTATTGTTCGGACTGAAAGTTACCATTAAGTGTGAGGATATCTTTGTCATGCAATGTCAGGTGTCCCGCTGGACTGGGAGACAAAAAGAGAGAAAAACGTCAGGTGGTGAAGAGAACAACAAAGACATTTAGGAGTAAGGAGACACTTTGCGGTTAGTTTGTCTACTCCTTCTTTGCTCTACGGTACAAGGTCAGTTGGGGTCTATTTGTCAAATTTAGTAAAAGCTTTGTGGTGTTTTGAAGTAAATACTCTCCTACACAGTCCTTGTAGTATACTTGTACTTGAGAATTTCAATTTGTTGCTAGTTTATGTGTCTACTTTATACGTTTCATAGGGAAATGTTGGCCTTTTTACTCCACTACATGTATTTACTATTTACAGTTACTCTATTGTTATTTTCCATGTTTGATCAGCCTCTAAAACACGATGCCATGTCCTTTTATTCGTACTTTGAATTTATAATAAAGTGCTTTACATCATATCCATTAAACGCCAGTGCATTAAGAATATTCCAGCCCGTTTTCAAAACAAATCAACTTTGCACATTTTTCTTAAAGGGGACCTATCATGCAAAATGCACTTTTGTACGTCTTTTATACATGAATATGTGTCCCCGGTGTTCCAGGGAACTCACCAAGTGTCAGAAAACACAACCCTCTCTCTTTTCCTCCATACCCAAATCTCTTAAAAAGGGGCTGCAACGGATCTGATACAGACTGATCCAGCTTTTAACACTTCTATGACGTCACAGAAGTGGCGCTACGGCTATTGGGCCAACTCCACCAATCAGGAGGGGACAGCCACGGACATTGCCGTTCGAAAGCGCTGGAGACGCTGTAGTACATATGCCAGGCCTGTAGGTGGTGCTGTTCTCACAGAATCAGCCCATGCAAAGACAGTGTTAAATTGAGCAAAATGAGGAATGGCTAAAATGCATGATCTGTTTGGTATTTTGAAAAATAAAAAGTATAAATATGCCTTATATAGGTATGGTCCTACACTATATTATTCAAATATAGCATGATAGGTCCACTTTAATATTTCCAGTGCAGCAATTGGCCTAACTGTCTCTTGTATCGAGATGTAAATGTTTTTATTCTAAAAGGTTGATTTGAATATAAAACATTGATTTGTTTTATGTATTTACTGCACTAGAAGGGTCCATCTATGAGTACCATTACTTTTGATTAATTTAATATATTTTGCCTTTACCTTTAGGAGTTTGAATGCAGGACTTGTATAGGAGTACTTTTTTACTGCCATTGTTCCTCTTTAAATCTGTGGATCTATGCTTTTCAGTGTGAGCACATGCCAAGTCAGGATGTTTACTTGGAAAGAAGTCAATCTCTGAAAATAATACCACCTTTGAAGTGCAGTCGCCAAAAAACACTCATATGTTCAGCTGCTCTCATGAATATGCATACACCAGCAGATAACAAACACTTTGTTGTGAATCAAGTCCTTTTGTGGCTGCTGATTTTTACCCAGGTTGGTGAAAATCAAGGAGTGGGTGGACAGCCATGACCCCGGAGCCTTGGTCATCCCCTTCAGCGGCAGCCTGGAGAGCCAGCTCCAGGACCTGAGTGAAGAGGAGCAGCAGAAGCACTGCACCGAGCACAAGACGCAGAGGTTAATTAGCATTCAGTCTCCCCACACTTTATTATCAGCTGTGTCCTCCATGCACTCCTTTAATTGCATGTGCTGATAGAATAATAAATGGCAGAGTAATTACCATTATAAAGCAAAGGATCCCTCTTCTTACTGAACAACTCAGTCAAAGGGTTTTCCTCTAAATTAAGTTTTTAACTGTCATCTGTCATCTGTAGGTATAATTATAACTTGGCCGTTTTAGGTTTATTGTTCTCGTGTGAAAACCTCTATGGAGAGAAAAATTGTGACAGCAGATGTTTTTTTCTCTCTTGGTGCAGAGCAAGGCGCCGGGTTGAATTCTTAAAAATGCTAAATGAGTCTACAAGCTTTCTAATTAATCAAAGAAACCATTGGAGAGTTGAATGTCTTATGAGAGACGAAGTGACCCATCTTATTCACTTAATGAGTTTATACTGGAATGAATGGGGCCTTGCCACTGAAGTGAACTTTGTCTAGGCATCAGTGGCAATAAATAATACTTACACAGTTCAGACCCCTCGATTTAAACTGACATTTCTCTCCACCAGTGCCCTGAGCAGGATCATCAAGGCAGGCTACGCAGCCCTGCTACTGGAGCACTTCTTCACCACTGGACCAGATGAGGTCCGTGCATGGACCGTTCGGGTAAGAGCAGGCTGCCTGCTGTGCACACACATATGAGTGTGTGTACCAGATACACGAGCACATACACACAAACGAATACACACTGTGTCCCACGTTCCACCCTGCTGGCACCCTCACTGATATCACACACTTTCAACTTTGTCATGGTTGTGCTTTAGCTAGTCATTACAGGCCAAGGATAACTTCAATTACTGGTGAGCTGCTGAACAGTGAAAGTGGGGGCTACATTGATTGAGGAGGGCAACAATTGATTTTGCCCATTACGTCCATGAGAATGTTTCCATCCTGTGCAGATCTGCCTGCCCTCCTCCTGCCGCTGGAGATAAGGAGCCTGTGCATTGTGCCTGCCTAATCTGTGTGACGGAGGTTGTCTGTGCCAAAATTGATGTCGCTTTTCATCCGACTGTTTGTGGGCCTTGCAGGGGGCTCCTCCTCCCTGTGTGTCTCAGTTTACCGAGGCCGGCCCGCCAAGAGCTTTGTGCAATGGGATTGCAGGATTTACATCAATACAGATGTTGGCTTTGCGTGCTGGTATTGTGTAAAAAAAAAAGAGAGAATCTTGAGTAAATATAAGCATTGAGTGCAGATATAAAGAGGTATTTGCCTGTGGTTCCAAGTTCACGGCAAATCATCTAAATATTCTCCTTGATTTTCAGTTTTTGTTCAATAGGCTGCTAAAAATCTTTTATGACACTAGATAACAGGATATTTCAGTTTATATTCATTGGAAAAAATCTTGCTCAAAGAAGAAAATCCAGAATTTCATCAAAACAAAATCAGTGAAATATGTAATTATCTCGCTTCTAAAAAGATTTCATGATGTTTTAAACATGGCATTTTTAGTTTAGCTATGGTAGTTAACTAAGAAATAAATAACATTAGGATTGAAATAGTGTCCAGGCACTGATCTTGTGTGTGGTCAACAATCGTGTTTAAAGGAACTTTAAAGACTAGCTGCAAAATGATCTGTGAGTCTGAACACCTACATTATTTTTGTTTGTCACAAAAAAAAGCTCAAGGCAAACATTTTATTTTTTTCCCTATAAATCCCTTTTCCATGTGGGATGTACAGGTCGACCAGTTATCTCATAGGAGGACATTTCCAGTCTTATGTTGTCATTTTAAATGAATAAAGAAGCCAAATGTGCCCCAAGTCCAGGTTTAGGTTCACAATATGAACTAATGACACAGAAATCCATCCTAACATCTTGCTATCATATTGTTATGCTTACAAAAAAAAAATACAGACTCTGTGACGCATACTGTGTATTATTTAATTTTTCTTATTAGAAAATGAGAAAAGGTGACCTGGGGATAAAATGCAAAAAGCCCCTCCCTGTCAGTAAGGAACACAGGAAATCGTAGTAAAATATAAGCTTTGGATCGCCTGCCAACAGGATGCCACATGCTGATACTACATTTATCCGGGAAATTCAAATGTTATTACTTTGCAGAAAATGAACGACCACAATGATTACCTATATGTTTTGCTATTGACTAAATCAAACAATGTAACTAAATGACACCTTGAACTAGGAAAATATAATCATTATTTATTTTGATAGTAAATGTGTTGTTGCTAATCATGAGACATGTCCACACAAGTCTGTAAACAGTCTCTCTGTACATGCCAGAGGGAAAGGTGAGCTCACATCCTTCTTTCTTTTTTTACACAGGACACATTACATTTTAGTGCGATGACATCACTGGGTTTAGACGCACACTCGTCTCAGCATGACTGATGTCCTCACTATATACAAAAAAATCTTGAAACACTTTAAAGGCATCCTCAAAAACACGCGTGTCCTCGTCGACATAAATGATTACAGCCAGCCTTGATTGTGTGTGAGGGGCATTTAGTCAGGTAAGCATCAGTGAGTAACTATATTAAGCCAATACGTCTTGCATTGTAAAAACTACACTTAGTAATGTCGTGTTCCTAAATCCTTTACCATGCTTTATTAGGCAGCCTCGAGGTGACCATTATCTATCAGCCTGCTCTGCATAGCTCTTAACTAGGACAATGTGGATCTCTTGTAGTGCTCCATATGAAAAAAATCCCTCCCTTAATCTATTTTTCTCCAGATAGACAAACCTTGATACTGATTAATGGAAGTTAAACTCACAAGCACTCCGTCAATGAGATTGCAAAGAGATGGTAATGTATTAGAGTCATTAAATACGCATCATTCTTTTGGCATGAAATATGTTGACCCCAACCTGATTATATACATAATTAAAACTGCTCAACAGTTCCTGAGCACGGAGCTGCGGAGCGAGCAGGTCGACAGGCAGGAGTCATAATGATACACAGCAGCCACGTCACTTATACGGGTCATTTGTCATTTCTGCCCTGCATTATTCCAGTGCATATAAATTGCACATTTCATCAGTCACTAGTTGTGTCTTACATTCTTTAAAAGAGGATTTAAGGTACAAACGATTTATAAAACTGTTTAATTGTGTTTGTAAATTGGCATCTAAAATAACTTTAAGGGCAGCTCCAAATGTATGTATTAAGAATACAATTTAAATAACTTAAAACAGCTTAACAGCAGCCCTGAATCTACAGTATTTACATTTAATTGAATGTACGAAATGAGTTACCGGTACCACTTTATAATAAGACTATAAAGGGTTTATAATTAGGTTATGAATTAGGTTGTAAACACTTTATTAATCATTAAGAAGAACCATTTATAAACCAGTTATATACATCAACACAGGCTCACTATGAACTATCAAGATGACTAAGCCTTATATTGACTACTTAGCGAGAATCAACTCAGTGAACAACAGATACCAAGGATGCTGGCTGATGAAGAAGATGAAGTAAGCTAGGTAGCCAATATAAGGTTTAGCAGTACAGATAAATGTGGGCTCACTATTTGGCAAGCAACCGGTCACAGTTGCCCTGTTTATCTCATGTCTTATAAAAGCTTATTAATGACTTATAAAGGGTTCACAACCTAATTAATAAATGAATTACTAACTATTCGTAAACCCTTTATAAGGGTAGTCTTATTGTAAAGTGGTACCGAATTACCTAACTCAATCCAAAATAGTAAGGCCTAATGCAGTGAGGCCTGTACCACCCTGGCCTCTCACTGCAACACTGGGTCTTCTTGCTGTCATGACCGGAGAGTCGAGCAGAGACCCACAATGAGGCGAGATTGCTTGGACAGAAATCAATACCAACATGGAATGGGAATCAGAAGGCATTGATAGCAGTGCTGGGTCCTTATCAGTGTCCATGCTGCCCTAGCAAGGCACAGCAGAGTGGAAAGCTATCCAGAAATCAGGACTGAGGCAAGAATACCCCCGACTGAAAACACCCTCGAGTGATGCTCACATCGCTATCACCCTATCAAACACAATGTCGCTCGCATGCTGTAATCCATCTTCTCCAAAACAATTCATTTGTCCTCTCTTTTCCTTCCTCGTGACAGAAAGGAACTAAGGCTCCACAGGCTGCGGGGAAGATCCACACAGACTTTGAGAAGGGCTTCATTATGGCGGAAGTAATGAAATTCCAGGATTTTAAAGAGGAAGGCAGTGAGAACGCTGTCAAGGTGAGCAGTCAGGGTGCCAGAGGAGATGAGGGGAAGTCTCCTGTGATCAGTGGAGCTGACAGTCAGCACACAGCTCCAACTGCAAACTGCTCTTCACCTTTACTCAGGGGAAGAAATTACTGCACACACTCCAGCACCACTCCTGACAAGCCAACTGATTCTGGCTCTAAACACTGCCATTCTGCTCCAGCTGTGCATATCTTTATCACAATGTGTCTTAACTGGCTGATGGCAGCTCTTGCTCGTGGCTCAGCACCGTCTCTTGGAGGTGGCACTTCGTTACCTCACCAGGCATTTATCAGATCTATAGAGTGCGCTGTTAGCTTAGAGCTCTCTGTTGCCAAATCCCCAAGCCACTGTAGTCGGCATGTGACAGTGATAGAAAGCGGCAAGTTAAATAAAGTGTGAAATTCCTCAAATAAGGACTGTTTCATGGGTGGGTGGTGCAGAAATGTGCCTCGCATATCTTATGTTATGATGGCCTGTGTTTGTTTTTGACCTTTTAACTGGGCTGTGTGTTGTTCATGTGCACGCTCCTGTCAAATGTAATAAGGGATTTCATGGTGAATTTGTAAAGACAATAACTGGGCAGCAGGTACTTTGCAAAATGCCTCAAAATGCGTCTCCCTCCTTTAATAAGTGTTGTTTTGAGGCTTGGCATTAATTTAGTTTCATTTTGGAAAACTGTAATTTGGTAATTGAAGGTACAGAGTTAATAATCCGTTAATCATCGCTGTTGGAAGCCCTTCATATCAAAGATGCTCTTTTTTATGTTTCATTTCTGTAAAAACACATTAAGAAAATGAATTTTCAGTTGATTCATTGAAAGCAGAAGTTACTTAAACCTACTATGTGTGACATTTGTGAGCGACAGCAGTGAGCCATGCTGTTAAAATCCCACTATCACCACCATCGACTCCATGTGCCCACTTACAGACTCAACTAATGTAATTATAGTGACACACAGGGAAGTGCGGCGCGGACCAGTGTGGAAACGGGGCACTATGAAAACATTTAAATCTCCTTGCTATTCAAGCCCTTTTTAATAAGTATTTAGAATTTAATGCAGCGGCAGTGTATTGTCCACACCCATCATAAGCCGCAAACAGAGGGCGAAGCGAGTGGGTCTCTGGGGACTTCCACCATTGTTATCCGAGGTTCAGATCTGAGTGTCAGGCCCTTACTGCATGCTCTCTTACTAATCCCTTTCTGGGCCTCATAAGAACATGGAGCGTTTCTTACTGTGGCATTAAAGTCTGTGCTATTTAATGCCAGTTGTGGGAATAGGCTGTCTGAATAGGGCCAGTGTACGGGGATATCACATTATTAGTAATCATATCTGCTTAAGCCAAGCTTGCTGCTCCAGATGGCTGCTTTCAAGTGCAAATGAACCAGTTAGACGTGTCTGGTTTAATACATACTCAGGAATCACAAATAGCCATTGATTTTTTTCCCTGTCTCCCTCGCATGCAGTGTTTCTGGTGGTATTGAGCTTGGATTAAATGGTCTCCTGAGCCTTTAAAGGGACATTGATTCTTCTAATTAATTGTGCGCCGTGCAGAACCAGAATGCATAAACCTGTCTGTATTAGCACTTCAAGTCAATTATTTTTGAGTTTGCCGGGAAGGAGAACAAACACTTACTGTATACAAAAGAAATGTTAGAACTTATTCTGTTTCCTTGAGAAGTTTGATAGTGCTGTAATCAAAGACTTATTAACATTTTGTGCTTGTGCACATGAAACTGAAATGGGCAGAAGAGACGATTATTCACTCAGTGGGAATTCAGGCCCCCCTTGAACAAAACATGGTTGTGTGTATGTTTTGTGTGTGTGTGGGGGTGTGTGTGTGTGTGTGTGTGTATATGTGTGTCTTTAACAGAAAAGGGGGGATGAGATTTGCGAATTAATTGGAGTAAAGTCATTTAATGTGATACATTAGATTGGATACTAATTCGTAACTATTACAATGTACACTGTTATTATGCGCTTTATTGTTAATTTTCTTTTTATTTGTTATTTTACAGGCGGCAGGGAAATACAGACAACGGGGAAGAAACTATGAAGATGGAGACATCATCTTTTTCAAGTTTAACACACCGAATGCACAAAAGAAAATTTGACACAAAAAGAATATATTTGTTTACATAATGACAGTGCTTGTTACCCCTTTTTTTCTTCTCTTGGCCTGATACCCACTGCCACACACTCACGTTCTGTAGGATCAAATCCCCTCTGATCCAAAGCACAGGTTCAGTAAACTCTGACAGCTTTGCTATTTAAGATCAGGATCGGCCCCCACTCCAAATTGTAGCAGAATTTGAAGGAGCATATTACTCTCCAGATACCTCATTAATCTCCATCACGGGTGCCAGCACTGACACAGCTGACAGCGGGGACAATGCCACCTGCTCTTCTCCCCCTGCTGCAGATAATGCATGTTTTACAGTAGCCCAGATGTCTACACTCAATAAAACATTTGACAAAACCAGTCTGTGTGTGTTTTGGGATGTCTGTATTGAGTGGGAAGCTGCATGGGGATGGTGATAGCGGTCCTGCCGACCACTGATTAGAGAATTAAAAGACACAGCTGACATTGACTGTAGCAGAGAGGGTACAATTATAATTAAATCTGTTAAGTGATGCTGATTTGAGAAGGGCACATGCAGGATGCAGGTGTTTCGGCCAAAAGAACCGGTCAGTATAAATGATTATTTGCAGAGTGATTATTATTCACTGTCGCTGCAGTTCTCTGTTACAATCTTTAAAAGAGCTTCTTTGTTATGTTTATAGTTTCTTTCTCCTGTCCTGAACAATCAAGGTAAATACACACCAACAAATAAATAAAAGAAATATTCATTCAAACCGAATTTTCACAAAAACGTCTACATTTTATAATATTCTGTATAGTATGAAAATAGAGGTTGACACAATCCACAACCAGAAAACGATTCCTGTTGTCTGAAGTAGTGTTTTTCTCGCCCCTATACTTTGT